TTAAGAAATATGAGGAAAAAAGAAAGAAATATCAAGAGATATGAAAAAGAAAGAAATATTTAAAGACATGACAAGAAAGAAAGATGTGTGACTGAAGACAAATGCAAAATGAATTGAAGATAAAGAAATAAAAGCAGTTAACTTTACCAAAATGGAATGAGGGAAAGAAGGAAAATTTGAAGAAAGAAGAAGGAGGAGAGGGGTTAGGATAATATCAATAATCAAAGGGATTTTTTTTTCCTTGCCTGTTATACGAGCAATAAAAGTGTGCTGAAACCCAAACACAAATATAATGCACATTTCTCAGCAGACGAAATCAAGAAGCAAACAGTTGCAAAGCATTTTTAACATCTTCATTCTTTTTTCATCTTTCATTCTTTTTCTTTATTTGTTTGTTTATTTATTCATTCATATTTTTCTCCTTCATTTCTTTTTCGTATGGGCTTGAACATGTTGCCCTCCAAAAAACGAGCATGCAACCACCGACTTCTTCCTTTGCCGACCAATGAACATGCAAGGATAACAAGGAAGGTATGTGTTATGGTGGGTGGGCAGGAGTCATTAGGCACAGGGGGAACAGAGTGCAATGTGATGGAAAGTGATGTGGGTCGGAGTTGCACAATTGGGACACTGGCAAACATCATTGTTAGTCACAGCAAAGGTATGTCACATTCGCCAATTATTTCGACTGCAACAACCCCTACCTGCTCACTGCTTACCAATCGACACCGTCAAAGAACAAATAAATACCCTATTTCCCACTGTATAACATGCACCAAGAATTTGGCAAGGAATGTTTACGGAAAAAAGAAATAATACTCAACTGGTAATTCATTCATACTTACATATATCGTTTTATTATTAAATGCTTTTTTAAATATGTAATAATAATTTAACAATTTTTAATTTTATATACATACATATATATGTAATCAAATATATGGATATAGATCCGACAGTATGGAGAAAAATATATATGGAAAAAACAAAACAAAAATCCTTATATACAATTATGCTGTTTTAATGTTAATATGTCAAAGTCTGACGTTTCGGTCTAATAAACCATCTTCAGGACATATTCATAAATATAACATTATCAATACAACATGATAAAGACGATGTACATAAGAACAAGACTTATCCAAACAAATAACTGAAAGTTTTATGCACATCGTCTTTGTCATGTTGTATTGATAATGTTATATTTGAAAATTGTTTATTAGACCGAAATGATTATGACATATTAACATTAAAACAGCATAATTGTATATAAGGATTTTGTTTTGTTTTTTATATATTTTTTTTATATATATATATATATATATATATATAATAGCGCACAGTAATGGTAATAAAGCTGGTGGTAAGAAAACAATTTTCATTTCATGCACTTCTTGCTTGTGGAACTCCCTTCTGGCTCCATGCTTTCCAGTCAACTTTAATCTTCAAAAATTCCAATGCAATGTCAGTTACTATCTAATGACCTCCTGATTACTCCTTTTGTTCCAGCTCATTAGTAATGTTTCAGTTTCTACTTCTTTCACACCCAGTAAATCCTTATATATTAGTAGGTTTAACATATATATATATATATATATATATATATATATATATATATATATATATATATATATTAAACTCACACTTTTTTTTAAAAATATTTTATAATAATGTAATAATAATTTAACAATTTTTAATTATATATATATGTATAAGAGTGCATATTAATGGTAATAAAGCTGGGGGCAATAAAACTGTGCTCGACGTAAAATAACAAATAAATTTATACTAATAATAAAATATATATATATATATATATATATATATATATAGATAGATAGATATTTCAAACACAGGAACAACAAAAATATGGAAGAATCTTACACCAATGGTAAGTGCATAAAAAAGAAAAATCAAGAAATATAAGCTGGTATCTCCTGAAGTGTGGACGGACAGGTTCACCTATGAAAATCTGGAGTTGGGATGCTGAAGGTAACATCAATGAGCTAATGGACAAATGTTTACTTATATTATATATATATATATTATTTTCTTTTCTTGCACTTCTCACTTGTGGAATGCCCTTCTGGCTCCATGCTTTTCAGTCAACTTACAGTTAAAGTCATTGGTCTCTCACTCAAAAAAAATCTTTAAAAATTCCAATGCAATGTCAATCACTATCTAATGTCTTGTTTCTTGCCTTCAGTTTATCTTTGTTGTTACAAGGAGTTTCATTGGTCCCTTGCTCAACTGCACTCCACACATAATAATCAAGGGGGTTGCATTCATGGAAGTTATAAGGCCAGATATAAGGGGTGATGTGACTGCAGAAATTGTCTGACAGCCATTACTGGATTCTCCTGCTTGTGAGGTATGGTGCAGAGTCCCAGAGCAGCACTACCTCCTCAAGTCACTTGATGTAGGCCTCTGTGTTGAGCCTGAGTCCCTCACCAACAAAATGAGATGTTTTGTCATCAGAATGATCAGAGTTAGTTTTCCAAGCTTCCGAATCCTCTGCATTGTCCACAGATTGACACCCAAACTCTCTGAAATTTTCATATTGGAGCTTCCAGCACCAATGCCAAGCAGTAAAGGATGCCGTTTCCAAATTTCTGGTAGAGTGAATTGTGTCACAGTGGTGTTCTCACAGATGGTGCCCAACTGACCCTACTATAGCGTGCAGTTGACAAAATCAAAAACACTCATGGAATATATTAAAAGTATAAAATGGTGACAATTTACCTTTCGCAGCCTCTGTGTGCGTGTGTATACACGCACACACTACTAATAAATATGTATTTGTTCCTCAGCATTTGGTTGCACCAATTGGTGAAGAATGAACAAATACATATATTTATTATTAGTGAGTGTGTGTATATATATATATATATATATTTCATTATAGGATCATTGAGGAGCAAGTATATGAAACAGGCTTTTTTATGTTTGAACATTATTTTGATTTATAGGCTTAATTTAATCACTTATAATTTATATATATATATATATATATATATATATATATATATATATATATATATATATATATATAATTCTGGAGGCTTGTCTGTCAAATCAGTGGCTTTTACTTATATTTTGATCTAATTTTGATTTGCAATCATAATTTAATCATTTGCAGTCATATATATATTTAATTCTGAAGTCATCAGGAGACAAGTTTGTAAAACAGATTTTTTAATATACATTTTAACATCATTTTAATTTGTAACCCTATATATATATATAAAATTCTGTATTAATCAGGGGACTAATGTGTCAAATAGAGGATCGTTTATAGATATTTTAACATCATTTTAATTTGTAATCTGAATTTAATCATTTGTAATCATATATATATATATATATATTACATTCAGAGTTAATCAAAAGACTAGCGGGTCAGTAGTAATAAGATATTAATTCAGTACCTGTAATCCAACCATAAAATATATAAAATATGGTGGTGAGGGATTTTTATTTAAAGCACTCCTTATATTTTGGGGAATATGGTGCAAATGATAAAACAGAATATGAATAAAAATTGCTTATCTGATGGTAAGAATAAATAGTAAGGCCTTAATTTGGGAATTTCTTGGACAGGTATCTGTTGAAAAGTGTTTTAACACACAACAGAAAATGTAACCCTGAAATCTGGAATAGCAAAAGATGTCTTCCAAAATATAAACAGTAAATTTAGTCACAGATGAACAAGATTGATTGATGGATTTGTTTATTATGATTTATCAACACTTTGCAGGTTATTTAAAGCCAGAAAATATTTTTTAGATTGTATGAATATTTTTTTTATTTATTAGATCATAATGATTTAATAATAAAAGTCTTACAAATTAACCAATATCTGGGGGAGAAGAGGTGGATTCATACCTTTCCCAAGGGTATTTATGTGTAAGTGAATATAAAGAACCCAACAGGAATTGGAACTCAGCTCTCTGATTAACAATTCCAAGCCTTTATTCATTATTCCAGCCACACATCCACTCTTACAGTAACTAGTATTCTCAAGCAGTCATATACCTAGGTAATGACCAGGCTTGACACTGCTTAACTTTGCTGATCAATAAGAGCACCGGTGTTTGAATGTGATGTGGCTGTAAGCACAGATGAAGAGACCTAAAGCAACTGAAATGTGGCTTTCCAAAAGGATACGGAGAATACCATGGATGGAGCATGTGAGCAATGGGAAAGTTTTAAGAAAAATGGAATCAAAACGACACAACCTTTTTTTATTTGATATAGGGGACCTGTTCCATGAAGGCCCCACTTGCCATCAGGCAAGCTGACATCTAGATCAGTACACCATGGTTTTTTATGTAACATTTTTAAGTAATGTATAACATCTATTAAATTCAGTTAAATTATATAAACACTGATGAGTGGGTAATGTTCGAGATGCTTGAAGTCAAGAAGAGAAGATCATTTGTGCTTTTAACACCACCTTTCTCACAGACAAAAATGTCACAAGTCTTATCCTGCTATATCACTATTTCTATGAAAAGTGTTCTACCGAACTAAATTCCACTAGTTCTAACCTTCACAGCTAAGACACACACTTTATGGAGAACCACCCTCAATCCCTTTATATACTATTGGTGAGATGTAAGTTACACTCAAGCATCATCTTCCCACAAACTACTGATTTGTGGAATCAACTCCCAAGAGGATGCTTCCCGAATTACTACAACAATCTTGACCTCTTCAAATCTAGGGTCAACAGTTATCTTCCTTACATATCCCTATATACGTTACCTATTATTCTGTAAGATTCTAGCTTGAGTGGCTCTTGGGCCTTGTACAGAGTGAACATTATTGAAAAAAAAAAAAAAAAGAAAAAAGATAGATCTGAGAATCAATACCAGTAGCAGAATTGACAATTGTCAAAATTTAAGGTATTTCTCACATTTGATGAATTTGGAGTTCCTTAGTCAGATTTTTTTCCCTACATTCCTCACAGTACATGTTTCTTGCTAAAATAAATCCCCCCCCTCTTTTCTAATTATTGTCACACATTTTTAGACATGCTTAAATCATGGACATCTGCTATTTCCCAAACTTTGTTGAGACCTTTCATCTACCTCGCTATTAATCTGCGCTTGTTATGGAAACTTCATGTTGGTTTGCATCAGGAGAAAAATTTACACATATGCACTTATTCTTCTGTATGTTGCATCTCTTCAGGACAGAGACAATCATGGCTCTCCACAAATTCCTATTGCTTATGGCCCTTTATTCTCTTTGCTAAGCGCCACCTCAATTTTGAAATCCATTTAGACAAACTTGTCAGTTAAGTAACATATGGCCTTCCCCTATCTATCTTGCTGTCAATAATGCCTCATGAGGGTTAAATTTTTGACACCCTCTTTCCTCACTATCTTCTCTCCTATTATACCTCTCCTCTTTATGATCCCCTTTCTTTTTGTGGTACTCATAACTCCATTTTCTCAAGCTTATCATGTATATTACCCACTCTCTTTCTGTTTTTACTCTTGCTTACAGTGTATACTCTGTGTATTAAATACTTCAAACTGTTTCTCTTCATTAGATGTAAAAAGAAAATAAAATTTCAGCTGCCTCCCATTATATCTCCTATTCTTAAAATGTCCTCATTTGTCACATGATCTGCTCATGACATTTTGCTGTTTCAAAGTAAGAGTAATTCAAAGATCTGTATTATTCAGTTCACATACACTTTTTCATGTTCACTGATTTGATGGGGATTACATCATCTCTCTTTACCCCAATGATTAAAATTTCAGCATCCTCTCTCCATGCTTACATCAACGTAAACATCACTTTAGACAAAGGAAGTCGTAAAGGATGAAACATGTCACCCAAAAATGTTTCTCCATTTTTTACATTGATTTTCCCATGAATATAAATATAAAATATATATATATATATATATATATATATATATATAAGGTTAATGGTCAGAGTTGAATCAGACCAGGAAACAGTAGTATAAAAAGTGCTCAATAGGCATGTGAAAAAAATAAAATAAAACCATACAGTAATCATACCAGCATTTGCTACCTTTGTCAACGTGCAAAATTAGTGATTATGACATTTCCAGATCCAAGGAATTTTTTAAATGAGAGATCTGAAATTTAAAGTCCTTGCCTTCATATCAAAAAAATTTTATTAAGTGAATATGAACTCATTTGTGCTAGTGGGGAGGGATAATTAGTATGTGTATATATATATATATATATATATATATATATATATATATATTGGACTCTCCCATCATTTTTTATGTATGAGAGTCAAGCAGCTCAGTTCTTAGAAGTAACAACCTGCACATACCATTTGATCATAGTGCTCAAAGCTGGTTCAGAACCAATCACACTTTTTGGAAGAATCAAGGACACAGTATGCGACAAGGTCTCCAAATGACACTCAACAGGTTTTGAATTCAGAGTTGTCCTTCTCCCAGATTGGTTTCCACCCAAGACTATAGGACCCAATCTGTCCTATTATTTACTCATAGCAGGGGAAAGAAATGATGGATTGAAAATTCTGAATTCAAAATATTACGAGGGTTGTTTGTGGGGCCACATTATGTGCACCAGTTCTTGGCAAGAAGAAAATGTATCTGGTTCTGCACAAACATTCTCCACTATAATCAAATGATATATGCAAGTCATCTGGCTGAGCTGTTGCACCCTTATACATAAAAAACGATGAGAAAGTTCAGTATACCAGGTGTAACAGCAAAATTGTCCCTCCCACAAAATGTTTAATATCTAAACCAACTGAGTTTCTTTTTCCCAAGTTTTCAGATAAGACATTTAGCCATCGTGACACCATTTGTCCTAATCAGTGATTCAAAATCACTGAAGAAGCCCTTTGATTTATTCAGCTAGAAAGAGAACAGGTTGAAATTATTTTGTGTCAGCTCAACTACGTTTTCCCAACTGAGCAATGACAAGAGGAAACAGATCATTCAGGCCTTAATGGTACCAACATTCATACTTTGGCTTCCATCTTCAAAGTCCATTCAAGAACCATCAAGAGAATGATGAATAAGAATAAAAATAGGGAACAATATGGAGGAAAACTGGATCAGGTAGTCAAAACAGCAAGAGGGATCATCATTTCAACTTAGAGCTAAAGAGATCAATTAGAAAAGATCCAACACAATTCATAAGACATTTGGCATGTAAGAGAGGGGTACAGCCATGACAGTGCAAAGAGCAGTGAAAAAAGATTTGAAAATGAAAATCGTACATGAAACCTGTGAGGCAACTCCAGGATAGAAAGTTAGGTTAGAGAAGGCTAACATCATCTTGAATAAGTTAGAAAATGATCCTTTATGACTGATTTTATCAGGATAGTTCTGTTAAACTTATAGAGTAATTATACATTCTTATTTGTCAAAGTAGAGTCCAGTAGTGTTATAAAAACCTTGGAGAATTCCAGTAAGATATCTTTAATCATTTCTAAGATACAACAGTTCAAAGCTTAATCAGACAAATAGACAATTTTGCTGCTACACCTGATATAAATGAAATGAGAACTTGGAGAGCCAAGTTCGAATCCCAGTGCAGTTTGTTATATCCACTACCCACAAATACCTGTTGGAAAGGTATGAATCATTCCCTTCTCCTCCCAGCTATGGATTGAATAGCAGGACAGACTGGGTTCTTTAGCCTAGGTTGGCAACCAGTCAACTGTAAAAAGAAATGGCAGCCTACCTAATCTTCTGCCTCGTTAGTCATGTATCAAAAGATACTTGATCGCCCAAGCATGTATCATGTGTGGCATTTAACTGACTGATATTTATAGAGTAAACTATTCAATATCCAGGATAGAGCATGTGTAAATGTGGACACAATCTTCAGGCTTCTTGGTGTTGACATCAGTGGAGAATCTAGCACTCACAAGACATACTGAAGGCGAGAGGGATTGGAAGAAAAAGCAAATATCAATAAAAATGTTTATGTATAAGTAAAAGGATGACAGAACAGGAACTGGCAAGGAGATAAACACAGCTTAGAGCTATAAATGAAAAGAAGCTGTGGAGAGCCATGTTCGCCCACATCCTGAACACACACATAGAAGAAGAATTTACCTTGTTTGATTTTCTTTTTCTAGTGTTAATAGTTCCGCATTTTTTCTAGTTTAATTTTTCATCATCTTCAAGTTTTTTTTGCTTATTTTTTCATTCTCTATTTATACTTCATCGTCCCAGAAACAGCAGCTTCTCATTCTGCTATCACCATCTACGTCATCAAATGCGCATGCACAAGAAAGATTGAGGCAAGCGGAAGAACTAAAGTCTCTCCGTCCAGAAAGTAATCGTTCCTCTTCCTGTGTCTGGGTTTGTTGCCCATTCCACCTTACAGACATCAAAAGAATCGAAAATGGTTCGAGACAGGGGAAGGATGCGGCAGAGAATGAGGAAGGGGAAGAAGAAAAACAGACAATGATGACCGTCTGCATTAATGAATAAACAGCAGATATCAGGTGAGTGAGGGGGAAGTGCATTTAGAATTTCCTCCCTTTGCTTTTTGATTTGGTTCAAATGAGACACTAACATTCACCACTTTGGCCTCTTTCCTTGCATTTCCTCTTTTATTTTATATGCATATTTTCCTTCCTTACAACATTTTCTTCTTTCTCTATTTCTTTCTTTTCATCTGCATGTCTCTTAAGAATGTAGAGAATAATGGCTCTCCTCACAGGTTCCGTTTATTACCTGTGAACCAACAGAGAGTGTGAAGAAAGGCCTAAGCATAAACTACAAGAAGACAGAATGCATGGTCATCAATAAAAAGATGAGCCCGAAATGTGATTTGCAGGTCAGGAACACTAGAATCAAACAAACTCAGAAGTTTAAATATCTGGGAAGCATTCTGACAGAGGTCAGTAAATGTGACATCAAGATCCGTAAGCGTATTGGGATTGCCAAGGACGCATTCCAAAAACTGGGCACATTGTTGTGTGAGAAGGATTTCTTTGGTAACAAAGAAAAGAATAGTGAACTGTTACGCGGCATCTGTTCTTCTTTATGGCAGCGAATGTGGGACAATTTTCTCAAAGATGAAGAAGAGACTCAAAGCGACAGAGATGTGTTTCTACAGAAGCATGCTGAGGATACCATGGACTGAGCGTGTGAGCAACAATGAGGATGCAAACAAAAAGGAAGCTAATACTTAACATCAGGAAGAGGCAGCTGAAGTTCCTGTAACACATAATGAGGAAAGAGGGCCTGGAGAATCTGATACTCACGGTTTGAATAGAGGGAACGAAAGACAAGGGAAAACAACACATGGCATACCTAGCGACCTTAAGCAAGTGGATGACAGAATGTGGTCTGGTGGGAGATAGCAGAGGGAAGAAAATTATTGAGAGCTTCAAGGGATAGAGGAAGAGGTGGAGAGCCATGATCGCCTATGCCCTGAAAGGACACGGCACATAGAAAGAAAAAAAAAGAACTGTCATGATTTCTTGGGAAAGATAGTACTTCCTTGTTGTCTTCTCCACAGTTTCCAGTACAAGCTAGAACTACTCCTAGACTGGCAGCCACCCAAGGCAAAACAGAAGTAGGGAGAGATGAGGTGGATTCATATAATTCCCAAGAATATTTGCTACTGCGAATGCAGTAGCCTAGGATGGAATTTGAACTCGACATGCTGACTCCCCTTTCAGAATTGATAACTGTTATGACCCCCCCCCACTCTCACATTTAAAAAAAAAAGGAAAGAATAAAAAAAAAAGAAACTTAATATTTTCTCTTCTTTCTTTTCACTTAACGCTTCCTTATTTGTCCATAGTCACTAAAAAATATTAAAATAAGTGCCTTAATGATTTGGTAATAAAAAGATAATTGTTAATCATATAGAAAAATAAAAATGATAAATAAGTAAAGGGCAGAAGTGAATAATAATAATAATCATGGGAAGAATAAGTTGATTGGCAAATGGGATCAAGTAGTAAATGCAGAAGATGAGGATAAAGAAGGTGAATAGGATGGAGACAAAGAAAATAAAGAAAACAGGGAAAAGAAGAAGGAAAAGGCAGAGGTGAATAATAATAATAATAATAATGGGAAGAAGAAGATGATGGTGAATAGGATGGAGAAAGTAGAAAATGAAGAAGATGAGGATAAAGAAGAAGGAAAAGGAAGAGGGAAATAATAATAATAATAATGGGAAGAAGAAGATGATGTTGAATAGGATGGAGAAGTAGAAAATGAAGAAGATGAGGATAAAGAAGAAGGAAAAGGCAGAGGTGAATAATAATAATAATAATAATAATAATGGGAAGAAGAAGATGATGGTGAATAGGATGGAGAAGTAGAAAATGAAGAAGATGAGGATAAAGAAGAAGGAAAAGGCAGAGGGGAATAATAATAATAATAATGGGAAGAAGAAGATGATGGTGAATAGGATGGAGAAGTAGAAAATGAAGAAGATGAGGATAAAGAAGAAGGAAAAGGCAGAGGGGAATAATAATAATAATAATAATAATAATAATAATGGGAAGAAGATGATGGTGAAAATGAAGAAAATGAGGATAAAAAGAAGGAAAAGGCAGAGGGGAATAATAATAACAATAATAATAATAATGAGAAGATGATGAATAGCATGAGAAGTAGAAAATGAAGAAGATAAGGATAAAGAAGAAAAAGGTAGAAATAAATAAGACAAATTATAAAATGTTTGGGATTAATTTAAAAAAAAATCTCAACCTTCCAAAAATTCTTTTCTTTTTTTTAATTTTTCTTTATCACCTTTTTGTAATCTTTTTTTCTTTTTGGCACCTGAATTTCTATCAATCATTCCATTATTCAATACGGCAACTCTTGAAGTTTCCATATATTTCCTGAACATTTTTTTCTTAATTTCCTTCTTCTCCATTCCAGCTCCTTAACCTCCCACCAACCCTGTCACTTTTTCCAATCCTTACATCACATAATACGGATACAAATGTCGGTTACTCAATGAACATTGAACTCATTTCCACTCATTACGATTTTTTTCTTCTTTGTCTGATTTTTTTTTTTCCTGATTAACTCTCCCTTTTTTTTCTTCCTTGCAATCATCTTAATTTCCTTCTTTTCATATCGATTCATCTATCAAACGAGCTTTCACTCCTTCGTTATACTTGCCTTTGTACTTTCTCTCTATCTACCATTTTCTTTTGCTTCTCTTCTTTAAATACGACTTAAGAAAAACCTTTCCAAATCAGAAATTGGAATGAAAGAAGAATGGCACCTTTCATGGATCCATCATAAAAATCCCGGATGTACAATTAGTAAATACCCAACACTTCAAATACCATAGTTTATGAATCATTTATAAAAAAAAAAAAAAAAAAATTTAGTATAAGAGATAAGAAAATGGAATATAGAGTAAGCTGTACCAGGGATAGTTTCACCAAATACCACAAGTTGCTATAAAACCAAAACATTAACCTAAAACTGGGGTCATGTTCTTAAAGAAGAAAATAAAAAAAAACATTGATATCAAATGCACCTACTAAAAGTAATATTTATAGCAATAATGAGTTGATACCAACAAATATTTACTTTGTTATTTTAATGATAATATAATTCATCAAATGCAACATAAATTATTATAATTTAATAAATAATACAAATTAATAAAATACTATAAAATCTAATTAATAATGTAACGCACTAAAACAATTTCAATATAAGACATTCATAAAAAATTATTTCTAAAAATTCTAATATAGAAGAAAAATTCTAATTTCAAAGAAAAATTTGCAAGCAGAAGAAAAATGTGAAAACTATAAAAAATTATGAGGATTAAAAGCAGAAATCCATGAATGTGCGTGTGTAAAAAAAGACCAAAATTCATGAGCATGTGTACAAAATAGATTAAAAAAAGTGAGGAAAAAATGGCAAAAAATTGAAAATAACTGGAAATATACCTATTTAAATACAGAACCCCCTGAAAAATGAATCAAATATAAATTCTAACATTCACAACATTAATTTATATAGAGCTCAATACAATAGTAGAGCCGTATTCTTTATTATAGGATATTACATTCAAACATATATAAAACTACTATATATATATATATGTGTGTTTCTAGCTCTTTCTTTTTTTCCAATTTTTCCTCGGGTACCAATTTGTTTTGATATACTTACAAGTTGTACTATCCGGAGTTTTTTGGCAAACCTAGTATTTATATATATATATATATATATATATATATATATATATATATAAATATATAGGTGTGCTATATTTATGGGATAAAGTGCTCAATATCCGAGATAGAGCATGTGAATATAAAAGTGAACATTGAAGTCAACACTTACAGCCTCTAACTGTTGACTTCAATGTTCACTTTTATATATATATATTTTTGATCAATGATTACAAATAGCTTTAAATGAACTCTATTTTTGAAAGATGACAAACCTTCATCAGGTTTTATAGACTAAAAATTCTTAAATATCCTTGTCAGATTGAGACTTTCAAATGGATGTCATGCATAGTATTTAGAAATATTTAAATTGTTAGGTGTATACAATCGCTTTCTCAGATCAATGGTTAAAAACAGCTTTGAGCAAATTATACTAGATGTTAAAGATGCAAACCCTTCATCCAGTTTTATAGACTGCCACTAAAGAATTCCAGAGCTTAAACCAAGTAAGAGAAGCCACATCGCTCAAAGACTTCCAACAACAGTGACAATTAAAATGGATATTACATGTAACTTGAAGGGAAAATAATGACATAAGATGCTGACTTACCATACAACTTTAAACAAAAGGGTAAGAGGCAATCACATTATGAGAAAGAGCAATAATAGTTAGTGGACTGAAAAGCTTGTTTTATCAGAAACTGTTTTACGAGAAAGATTCTATAAAGCTCAACTGATAGTAACACCAACACTCTGGTCAAAGAATGCTGAAGGTTTCCTCTGTGGAGATGGCTATTTTTACCAGTGCTGGATTTATATATGGGCTGCAGCCCAGGGGCTCCCAAGGAACATCTAGTCTTGGGCACTTGATGAATGTAAAAAAAAAAAGAGATTTTTTTTTATTTTTAGATTTAATGGGACATCTTTGAACTAATTTGAAACAATTAAGAGTATTTGGTCCTCTTTTGAATTTGATGAATATAGAATTTCAGTGTCATACAGGACCTTCATTTCAGATACATGTAAAGTATGGATAAAAAAATATCATGAAGTTGCTAATGAAATAAATTGGGTAAGTTTCAAAATCATTAAAAATTTTAGTTGAAGTGTTTCAGGTTTTACACAAAAAAGCCATCTTCTAAAAATATATATATTTTTTTTTTTCTAATTTTTTTTTTTTTATAGACACTGGAGAGTAGAGAGTGGGTAAACATGCATAATGAAGGCAAACCCAAATTTTCTTAGCTCAGGAGGTGGGAGTGGTGGGGTCATATTTTTTTTTTTTTTTTTTTTTTAGCCCAGGGGCCTCTTAAGGCCTCAATCCAGCCCTGATTCTCACCATTACTACTTCAATCTCTTTTCTTCTTCACTCTCCATCTCTCTTCAGGTTTTTATTAACTCCCCTCTCTTTTTCACTTAATCATTCATCCTTTCTTTGTATTTCTTCTTTTCTCACTCTTTTTCTTTTGCTTCTCTGACATTTTTCCCAGCTTATGTTTATTCTATACATTTCCAGAGATTTTAGTTTTTCTCTTATTTTAAATTTCTCCCTTTCACTCTTTCACACACTTAACCACTTAATTGATTTTTCATTCTTCTTTTCTATCATTTTTACTTATCCTCCTCTACCCATTCCCTGTCACTCTCTGTTGTCTTTGCTCTCTCTTTCCCTTTATTACTTTCATGTCCTCCTCCCTCTCTCTTTAACTTATCTCCCAATCCTCTTATTCTTTCTCTCTATTATTTCCTACATCTCCCTCATGTTATTTCTTTATATTATCCTCTTCCCTTTTCTTAGATTCTCCCTCTCTCTTACCATCTTTATCTTTCTCTATTATCCTCTTCCCTTTTCTTAGATTCTCCCTCTCTCTTACCATCTTTCTTTATTATCCTCCTCCCTTTTCTTAGATTCTCCCTCCCTCATACCATCTTTCTCTATTATCCTCTTCCCTTTTCTTAGATTCTCCCTCTTTCTTACCATCTTTCTCTATTATCCTCTTCCCTTTTCTTAGATTCTCCCTCTTTCTTACTATCTTTCTCTTTCTCTATTATCCTCTTCCCTTTTCTTAGATTCTCCCTCCCTCTTACCATCTTTCTCTATTATCCTCTTCCCCTTTTCTTAGATTCTCCTCTTTCTTACCATCTTTTCTATTATCCTCTTCCCTTTTCTTAGATTCTCCCTCTTTCTTACTATCTTTCTCTTTCTCTATTATCCTCTTCCCTTTTCTTAGATTCTCCCTCCCTCTTACCATCTTTATCTTTCTCTATTATCCTCTTCCCTTTTCTTAGATTCTCCCTCCCTCTTACCATCTTTCTCTATTATCCTCTTCCCTTTTCTTAGATTCTCCCTCTCTCTTACCATCTTTATCTTTCTCTATTATCCTCTTCCCTTTTCTTAGATTCTCCCTCTTTCTTACTATCTTTCTCTTTCTCTATTATCCTCTTCCCTTTTCTTAGATTCTCCCTCCCTCTTACCATCTTTATCTTTCTCTATTATCCTCTTCCCTTTTCTTAGATTCTCCCTCCCTCTTATCATCTTTATCTTTCTCTATTATCCTCTACCCTTTTCTTAGATTCTCCCTCTCTCTTACCATCTTTCTCTATTATCCTCTTCCCTTTTCTTAGATTCTCCCTCTTTCTTACCATCTTTCTCTATTATCCTCTTCCCTTTTCTTAGATTCTCCCTCTTTCTAACTATCTTTCTCTTTCTCTATTATCCTCTTCCCTTTTCTTAGATTCTCCCTCCCTCTTACCATCTTTATCTTTCTCTATTATCCTCTTCCCTTTTCTTAGATTCTCCCTCCCTCTTACCATCTTTATCTTTCTCTATTATCCTCTTCCCTTTTCTTAGATTCTCCCTCTCTCTTACCATCTTTCTCTATTATCCTCTTCCCTTTTCTTAGATTCTCCCTCTTTCTAACTATCTTTCTCTTTCTCTATTATCCTCTTCCCTTTTCTTAGATTCTCCCTCCCTCTTACCATCTTTATCTTTCTCTATTATCCTCTTCCCTTTTCTTAGATTCTCCCTCTTTCTTACCATCTTTCTCTATTATCCTCTTCCCTTTTCTTAGATTCTCCCTCTTTCTAACTATCTTTCTCTTTCTCTATTATCCTCTTCCCTTTTCTTAGATTCTCCTCCTCTTACCATCTTTATCTTTCTCTATTATCCTCTTCCCTTTTCTTAGATTCTCCCTCCCTCTTACCATCTTTATCTTTCTCTATTATCCTCTTCCCTTTTCTTAGATTCTCCTCTCTCTTACCATCTTTCTCTATTATCCTCTTCCCTTTCTTAGATTCTCCTCTTTCTTACCATCTTTCTCTATTATCCTCTTCCCTTTTCTTAGATTCTCCCTCTTTCTAACTATCTTTCTCTTTCTCTATTATCCTCTTCCCTTTTCTTAGATTCTCCCTCCCTCTTATCATCTTTATCTTTCTCTATTATCCTCTTCCCTTTTCTTAGATTCTCCCTCCCTCTTACCATCTTTCTCTTTCTCTATTATCCTCTTCCCTTTTCTTAGATTCTCCCTCCCTCTTATCATCTTTATCTTTCTCTATTATCCTCTTCCCTTTTCTTAGATTCTCCCTCCCTCTTTCCATCTTTATCTTTCTCTATTATCCTCTTCCCTTTTCTTAGATTCTCCCTCCCTCTTACCATCTTTATCTTTCTCTATTATCCTCTTCCCTTTTCTTAGATTCTCCCTCTCTCTTACCATCTTTCTCTATTATCCTCTTCCCTTTTCTTAGATTCTCCCTCTCTCTTACCATCTTTATCTTTCTCTATTATCCTCTTCCCTTTTCTTAGATTCTCCCTCTTTCTTACTATCTTTCTCTTTCTCTATTATCCTCTTCCCTTTTCTTAGATTCTCCTCCCTCTTTATCATCTTTATCTTTCTCTATTATCCTCTTCCCTTTTCTTAGATTCTCCTCCCTCTTACCATCTTTATCTTTCTCTATTATCCTCTTCCCTTTTCTTAGATTCTCCCCTCCCTCTTATCATCTTTATCTTTCTCTATTATCCTCTTCCCTTTTCTTAGATTCTCCTCTCTCTTACCATCTTTTCTATTATCCTCTTCCTTTTCTTAGATTCTCCCTCTCTCTTAACATTTTTCTCTATTATCCTCTTCTCTTTTCTTAGATTCTCCCTCTTTCTAACTATCTTTCTCTTTCTCTATTATCCTCTTCCCTTTTCTTAGATTCTCCCTCTCTCTTACCATCTTTATCTTTCTCTATTATCCTCTTCCCTTTTCTTAGATTCTCCCTCTCTCTTACCATCTTTCCCCATTATCCTCTTTCCTTTTTCTTAGATTCTCCCTCTCTCTTACCATCTTTCTCTATTATCCTCTTCCCTTTTCTTAGATTCTCCTCTTTTCTAACTATCTTTCTCTTTCTCTATTATCCTCTTCCTTTTCTTAGATTCTCCCTCCCTCTTACCATCTTTATCTTTCTCTATTATCCCCTTCCTTTTCTTAGATTCTCCTCTCTCTTACCATCTTTCTCTATTATCCTCTTCCCTTTTCTTAGATTCTCCCTCTCTCTTACCATCTTTCTCTATTATCCTCTTCCCTTTTCTTAGATTCTCCCTCTTTCTAACTATCTTTCTCTTTCTCTATTATCCTCTTCCCTTTTCTTAGATTCTCCCTCCCTCTTATCATCTTTATCTTTCTCTATTATCCTCTTCCCTTTTCTTAGATTCTCCCTCCCTCTTACCATCTTTATCTTTCTCTATTATCCTCTTCCCTTTTCTTAGATTCCCCTCTCTTACCATCTTTATCTTTCTCTATTATCCTCTTCCCTTTTCTTAGATTCTCCCTCCCTCTTACCATCTTTATCTTTCTCTATTATCCTCTTCCCTTTTCTTAGATTCTCCCTCTCTCTTACCATCTTTCTCTATTATCCTCTTCCTTTTTTCTTAGATTCTCCTCTTTCTAACTATCTTTCTCTTTCTCTATTATCCTCTTCCCTTTTCTTAGATTCTCCCTCCCTCTTATCATCTTTATCTTTCTCTATTATCCTCTTCCCTTTTCTTAGATTCTCCCTCCCTCTTACCATCTTTCTCTTTCTCTATTATCCTCTTCCCTTTTCTTAGATTCTCCCTCCCTCTTATCATCTTTATCTTTCTCTATTATCCTCTTCCCTTTTCTTAGATTCTCCCTCTTTCTAACTATCTTTCTCTTTCTCTATTATCCTCTTCCCTTTTCTTAGATTCTCCCTCTCTCTTACCATCTTTATCTTTCTCTATTATCCTCTTCCCTTTTCTTAGATTCTCCCTCTCTCTTAACATTTTTCTCTATTATCCTCTTCTCTTTTCTTAGATTCTCACTCTCACTATCTTATTTCTCTCTATTATCCTGTTCCCTTTTCACCATCTCCATCTCTGCCTTCCTCTTTCTCTCTATTAGCCTCTTCCTTTTCTTAGATTATCTCTCTCTCTCTTACTATCTTCCTCTCTATTATCCTCTTCCTTGGATTCTCTCTTTCTCTTACTAGCTCTCTATTATCTACTTCCTTTTTCTTAGATTCTCCCTCTCTCTTACTTTCTTCCTCTTTCTCTCTATTATCCACTTTCCTTTCCTTTGTTTCTCTCACCCTATCTCTGCATTTCTTTTCATTCGTTTTTTTTTATTGTTTTTTTCTCTTCCGCGTTTTTTTTTTTTTTTTTTTTTGGTAGTTTCCTTTTTTACTGTTTTTAGTTGAAAAGTCCTCGCATGTCATTTATGTTGACTCAGAATATCAAATATTTAGCACTCAACAAAATTAGCAAAATGCCGAAAAGAAGATGGGCCAAGAAAAAGACATAAAATAAAAAAAGCTTGCATAACAGCTTTAAAGAACAGTAGCAAGTCCGATTACAGATCACATACGAGTGGCAATCCATGTTCACACTGGCTCAAAACTTCCTTGTCTAACAAACCCCAATTGCAATTCCTAAAATGCCACCTCACCTAGACTTCTTGCACACATAATGCAGACGTTTTTAATATAAGGTTGGGTTAGACCTTTTTGATAAAATACCATTTTTCTCTTCCATGTCTCTTTCATCTTTTCTTCCATATTCCATTTTTTAGCCTCTTTCATTTTTTTTAGCTAGACAGCCTAAAAACAGTGAAAGGGTTTCAAAACGTAACCCCAATTCCAGTGAAAATGATGATGTGATTATTCGTCATATTTTTAATATTATTGTTCGCCAAGGCTCAAGAGCCACACAAAGTAGAGCGTTATTGAATTATGTTGTTGTAAGGGTGTGCAAGGAGGGGGTAAGAAGTGTATATCATGATGATATGTATGATACATAACAGTTGATCATAGACTTAAAAAAGCTTACGATAACAGTATCGGGGAAACATCTGCTAGGGACTCTGTTCCACAAGGTATTAGTTCTGGGATAGAAGGTGTCTAAGGGGAGCTTCCTCCTTACCAATGGAATATGAAGAGAATAAGGATGGATGTAGTATGATGGGTTCTGTGAAGGTCTGAAGTGTTTGGAACAAAGGAATATAGCTCACCTGTACATCTGCCATGAAAATAGTGATGGAGTAGGGAGAGGCTAGCAACGGTTCATATGTGGGGAAAGAGGTAGTAGGCTGTAAGATAAGTCATCACCCAAAAGGCTGCTTGAATATTTTTGAAATCTGCCAAGGGCAGGAAAGAGAGGATTGTACAGCTCCACTTGTAGAACTCTCTTCCATTTACTTGCTTTCAATTTTGATCTTCAAAAATTTAAATGTGATGCAAATCATCTTTTGATCCCTTGAATCATGTTCTTTTATTGTCCTCTCTAATTAATAATGATTATTTTGCAGTTTATTTTTTTCTCAGTCACTCCTTACACTTACAGGCTTTTTCTGCCTTGCTTGGTGGTAGTGGTGGTGGGTTGTTAGCAATTAAAAAAAGAATATATTTTTCATTTAAATTTTTCTTTTTAATAATTCCATTTCTTAGATTCCATTGCTACTCATGACATAAATCATAGTGGCGCTCCACAGACTGTGTTCCTTTATTATTTTTTTGATTTACATTGCAAAGCACCTGAAGAAAGACGAAGCACCAACAACTGAAACGTTATGTTTTTAACAATGATGTAGAAGACAATAGTCCAAATGGAAATAACAGAAAAATATGATTAATGCTTTCAGGCACCTTTTCTTGGCTTTATATATTGAGAGTTTGTTGCATGTGATTTAAAAAAAAAAGAAACCTATCATATTTTATTATTTAGTTTTATCGTCATTTGGCTACGGACTTGCTGATGTACCTAGGTAATCATTTATGTGTTAAGCAATTGGTATGGGTAGAGAAAAGAGAGAATGGCAAGAATAGTATACAGGTGGCCAAGTGCATCTAAAGAGATTTGGCTTCACTAATAGAATCAATTTACTCTGTAGTTTAAAAAGAAAAGACAAGAAAAATGTTAGGGACACCTAAAAAATTGAGACTGTGGTTAAGGATCCAGGGATATCTCGAAGATCCTTCAACCTAACAATCAGTCCAACCTAAGAAAATTGGATCCGGAACAAGGGGATTGGATCACAATTGCTTCCCTAAATGAAAATCCAATTTAGGGGACATTATTTTTGCTAAGAGGGAGAGGTAAGCAGCTCTAAGCAGAGAAATGAAAGAATGCAACATCGATCTATCTATCTAGGTCTGTTCATTATCGATCTATTTATTTATCTATCTCAGTATGTTCATTATATATCAATGTGTTCATTATCTAAGTCTTTTCCTTATCTATCTATCTTTCTAAGTCTTTTCCTTATCTATCTATTTTTCTAAGTCTTTTCATTATCTATCTATCTTTCTAAGTCTTTTCCTTATCTATCTATCTATCTTTCTAAGTCTTTTCCTTATCTATCTATCTATCTTTCTAAATCTTTTCATTATCTATCTATCTTTCTAAGTCTTTCCCTTATCTATCTATCTATCTATCTTTCTAAGTCTTTTCCTTATCTATCTATCTATCTTTCTAAATCTTTTCATTATCTATCTATCTTTCTAAGTCTTTTCCTTATCTATCTATCTATCTATCTATCTTTCTAAATCTTTTCATTATCTATCTATCTATCTTTCTAAGTCTTTTCATAATCTATCTATCTATCTTTCTAAGTCTTTTCATAATCTATCTATCTTGTTCAAAGTTGGTAAGACTGAGGCAATTTCCACCATCAAAATTAGGTTGCAAAAAGATTGTGGTGGTGATTGCCGTGACAGTGGCAAGAAAAATTGTGCGTTTATAAATTCTTTTTTTCTTTCTACTTCTTCTTCTCCTCCTGGGGAAGGACAAGAGAAGCACAGTTGGAATTCTAACCAATTCTGAGGCTATGGCGCCAAAGTTTTTGCATGCAGACCTGTAAGCAGACATTTTGATTGGCTGCTGAGCACGGCAAAGACCCAAAGACCCCACTCCCAACACCACCTCCAAAAACAAAAAAATAAAAAAAAAGGAACAAAAAAATGAATTAAGGCGACATTTTTTTTATTTTTTTTTTTTTTTTTTTTTTTGCCATACCTGGGTTGTATATTGATAGTTCAAAGTGACATCAGAACAGAATAAGGGTAGGAAATGCAGTGGGCAATGTTGCGTTGAGAGAAGAGGAAGTGAAAGTTTGTTTAAAGTTTGACAAGTGCACAGGTGGCTGGGAGGAGAGTAAAGTCTTATTAGTTGAGAAAGAAAAGATTAGAGAAATAAAGAAACCTGAGAAAAAAAAAAAAATGAAGAGTGAAGCGAACGAGGAGGAAGAGAAGACAAAGTGGGGAGGAGGTGGGAAGGAGGTGGTAAAGAACGGAAAGACGAGACGATGAAGGTGGAAGAGAGGAAACAGACAACAATCACAAATGAGGAAGATAAGTGAATGAAAAAAAAAAAATTGAGGAAAGGAGAAACGGATATATGAGCAAGTCAGGGTGAAGACCAATGAGGATTACAAGGAGATGGAAAAGATTCACTTGAGCTTAGAAGAAGAAGAAGATACCGAAAGAGGAGAAGAAGATGACAAAGGAGGGGTGGTGTGTAAAATGATGAAAAAGGAGGAGGAACAGTAGAAGATGATGAAAGAGGAGGAGGAATAAAAGATGGCAAAAAAGATGGAGGATTAGTGAAAAAAGAAAAAAAAGAGGAGGTATAAAGAATGAAGACACTGGAGACAGAGGAAGAATAGTCTATATACTATATAGGAGAAGACAATGATGACAAAAGAAGCAGGAAGAGGAGGAAAAGACAAAGGCAAAAGAAATAAAAGGGAGGAGGAAGAGATGACAATGGAGAGGAGGATGAGGAGAAGATGATGACCAAAAAGACTGGAAGGATGAGGAGGTGACAATAACAAAAGAGATGACGGATGATACGTAGAAGTAAAAGTCGGCAAAAGAGGAGGAGGTGTAGGAAGATGAAAGACAGGGAAGAAGATAAAAAGAGGAAAGGAATGAGGAGTAGCAGAAGATAATAAAAAAAATGGAGGAGTAGGAGACAAAAACGATGATGAGAGAGAGAGAGAGACCGATAAGGAAGTGGAGAAGACGATGATGACAATGAAAGAGATAGAAATGTGGTAGAAGTTTATAACAACAAGCAAAAAGAAAGAGATGAAAGACAAGGTGGTGGTGGTGGTGGTGGTGGGGGGGGGGGAGATTGGAGCAGAAAAGGCCGAAGAAGCAGAATTTCAGCGACAAATCATAAGTAAAAGTTAAAAGTAATCCAGGATCTTATTTTTAAATAGTTTTTTAAAACCCACTTCAACGTTCCTATCAGTTGCGTTAACGAAAGAGGAGGTGGATTAGAGGACAAAGGTCATGGGGGAGGATAAGAAAGGAAAGAAAATGAATAGTAGCAGAAGATAATAAAAAAAGATGAAGAAGTAAGAGACAAAAAATGAAAATGAGAGAGAGACCAATAAGGAATTGGAAGAAAAGGTTACGACAATGAAAGTGATAGCGGAGTGGTAGAAGATGGCAACAACAGGCAAAAAGAAAGAGGAGATGAAAAACAAGGAAGGGAAAAAAAAAATTGTAGCAGAGAAGAGGTAGAATTTCAGCAACGAAGCATAAGTAAAAGGTAAATGTAATCCAGGATCTTATTTTTAAATAGTTTTTTTAAAACCCACTTCAATGTTCTTATCAATTGCGTTAATGAATTTAAACACTTTTGAAGAGAGTAAAATTCTATTTCAATAGCTGAGAGTGAAACCTATTAAAAAATTTCAAACAGCTCCATTAGAAATAAACTTTAAATACCGAGAAATATAAAAGAATAAAAATAGTATAAATATTTCTGGACACACCCATTCATCAAAGCAAGGTCCTAAAGCCACTAAGATACAAAGAGTTAATGAGTGTGAGAGAAAAGAAAACATTTATTTTTAATCTGACATTTTCATTACATCTACTGTGATAATGTTGCAGTAATAATAATGAGGTAATAATGTTCAAGTAATAACAATGAAGTAATAATGTTGGATTAAAAATAAATCCATGAATTATCTAGAAATTGCTTTGTTTACGTTGTGAATACATAATTGAACAGAAAATAATCTGAGTGAAGAATATACGCTTTCCTTAAAAAGAGGCTGTTTGCTCTCTGCGGCTTAGCAGTTTCAGGTACACCAGATCAAATAGGGGTTTCTCCTACAAAGTAGGATGCTGATTCAAACAACATTGGAGGTCAAATTTTTTTTGTTAAGGTTTCTTCAGTGCACAAGCCAATAGATCTAATACTCAATGTTTAAAATAAAAATGGGTTGTCTATTTCAAATACAGTTATCCATAAAAAAAAAATAACATTTAAAGTAATATTATATAATTTTATATTGATATTTTCAAGTTCTCTAATTAGATATTTGATATTGAGATGAAATCAATCAAGGAAAGCACTGTAGTTTTTTTAACCCAAATCCTTTTGACCTTTCTAAGATCATCTTCAGGGGTAAATTACAAAGACAAACATGCTATAGTAACAGCAATAAAATGAAATGTGTTCCATTGTCATAGTGATTTTTGAACAAGTGGAAACATGATCTTATTTTAAAATATTTACAAATTTACCCCTGAATATGATCTTAAGAAAGTTGAAAGTACTTGGGTTAAAAAAAAACTATGGCACATTCTTTGATAGATTTCATCTGAATATCAAGAAACTAATTAGACAATTTTAAAGGATCAAAATAAATAAGTAGACACAATATGTTTCTATTATTCACCAAAACATGTTTAAATGAAAATATACTGCCTATATATATATATATATATATATATATGGCAAAATAAATTTATTACCAAATTCTTTATGATGTGTTTTTTCCTTCTTGATGTATATCTCATATTGCTCTGTATATAAAAATATTGATCTCTCTTCACAGATCTATCTTTTAAATTTTTTATATTAAAAAGACCTACTTGGATTATCCTTTTTTTACTTACAGATTATATATATATATATATATATATATATATATATTTTCATTATTTACATTGTTCAGACTGTTGTCCTTATCTTTATTGCCATGTTCACGTTTTGGCCATTGTACGCTCCGGCCTTCTTCAGGTGATTGGAATTTCAAACTGAACTCTTTATTTCATCCACTGGGGTAGATTGTTCTAGTTCCACATGCCATGCCTCTTCAGGATGTCACATTTATCTCCTTTTAACTCAACACTCCAAGTTTTTATTAACCACAATATACTGAACTCACAAGTCATAGGATCCCACCAATGCTTTTATCCAGTTGGCCATGTGTCCTTGAAGACTTCAGTATATGAAAGTCTTAGTTATCATTTTTTACCAGAGCTCATATTGCAGTGTTTGTTGTTATTCATTGCTTTTCTCTAGCAATCAGTATTACTGGTTCCCATATTGCATTCATTTCTATGCTTGGCGAATTTAAGAGATTTTTGTGTCCAAGCATATGTACTGATCCCATTTTCATATTTCCCAATGATGTTCTCTGTCTTATTTCAACTTCATTCCACAGGGGGTGGTGATTAGCCATGGCTGATTCTTCTGTTTCCCCTTATGTTACAGCTTTATGATGTTCTTGCAGTCTTACTTTAAGGGGGGAACATGTTTTCCTTTTATATTTCTTACCACACTGCAGGGGGATGGCATACTTATGACTGTTCCTCAATGTTGTAAGCAGTGGACGATCCCTTTCTTTACACTGTGTGGGTGGTGGGAGTTGAAGTTGAGGTATTGCCCAGTGAATATTGGCTTGAAGTATATGGATTTCTTGAACCCATGCTCTGTTCAGGATATTCATACATCTAGGAAGAACACTCTACCCCAGTGGATGAAATAAAGAATTCAGTTCAAAACTCCAATCACCTGAAGACAGCTGGAGCATACAATATCCAAAATGTTGTGAATGTAGCCTTAAAGATGAGGACAATAGTCCTCAAATATATATATATATATATATATATATATATATATATATATATATATATATATATATATATATAAAATATTAGGCATATATAAAATTTACATACAAAGAAATAATCACACATAGAATCAATCAGAAATATTAATGCGATTATTGGCGACATCCATCGCTAGTAGTATAATGTATGCATTAAAATACTGTTAATCCATAGAGTGAAGTGATCCTCGTCTATAAAATTGATGTCTGTTGTTTCCAGTTTATGTGTTCTTAAAATGCTAGTATTTACGAATAGTCTTCTATTCATCATCAGGCATGTGTTTTTTTCCTTATAAAATCAAAAACTTGAAGACGAAATAATTGTTTGTCAACCGAAAGATGTTTTTTGAATATCTGCTATTATTGACGGTTGTGTACGATCTCAGAACATGCAAAGATGCAACGCTAAGTTTTTCAAAATTTTAAGTGAGAATTTTATTTAAATATTTCTTGTGATGTGTTAAATCCATGTATATAGAATCAATCAGAAATATTAATGTGATTTTATAAGGAATAGTGCCTTGCTGAACTGGGGCACTCACTCTTCACGGGCAAGCAGCAAAACACATTGGATCAAATGGTGGTTTCTTCTACAAAGCAGGACACAGGTTTCTATCCTTGCCAGTGAGAAAGTTTCTTTGGCATGCCAACAGATGTAATAAACATGGTTTAAACCCCATCCCAAAATGGGGCATCTATTTCAAATGTGAGTATCCACTATAATATATATATATATATGTGTGTGTGTGTGTGTGTGTGAGAGTGTGTGTCCAACATGTAAATAAATATACAACTGGATAATCATACAAAAAAATTAAATAAAACTGTACTTGATTAAAACAAAAATAAAATGGGGCATCTATTTTAAATATGAATATCCACTAATAATTTTTGAAGTAATATATATATATATATATATATATATATATATATATATATATATATATATATATATATATATATATATATATATATATACGGTCAAATCACGCTGAAACACGGTTCTCGTTCGATCACGAAGTTAAGCATCGTGAGAGCCAGGTCAGTACTTAGATGAGGGACTGCTTGGGAACACCTGGTACTGTAAGCCCCCAAAGTCCAACCCTTACCTCACAGTCAGTGGGGGAGGTGTAAATGGTAGTGTCAGAGCTATGCCGCCCGGAACTTCGTTCCTGGTAGGGCCACCCAAGGCGGACAGGTCTGACACACACGCCGGCTAACAAGAGCTCTGGTGAAAATCCAAGGAGCGTCTGTAGCGGCTTCTGGTTGTTCCTTTCTCTGCGTCTGTGGGAATCCTGCGGCAAGCAAGAACATTATTCGAGTAGGCCTGGGTACCCTACTTCTGTAATTTATCCCAAGAATCTTCTTCTTATAACAGGAAGAAGCCGGCTCAATCCGCCCAGGGTGAATGCCACATCAGTCAGTATATATATATATATATATATATATATATAAAAAACGTACATCAAGACGAGCTCAACAATAGCTCATTTTTATTTCTACATGAGTGCATTTAGTGAAAAACTGTGAAAAACAAAAAATCAATTTCAACACAAATTGTAAACTAAAAACTCTCTCAATTTTCAAGCAATCTGATACAAACTTTACTCAATTGTAGCCAACAATAAGTTGATTATTTAACAGTCATTTAACTTGATAATTGAGTCCACCAATTTAGTGAAAACATGTGTCAATAGCAAAAAATGGCAATTTATACTGGTTTCTTTCTTATTTTTCCTTGATCTTTCATCAAAATTAACAAATGCTTTTATAAATGTATCCTCTTTTACTTCCCTGGTAGCACACTGACAAATTGAATTTCAAAAACTTCAAAATAATTGTGGTCTGAAGTGGGTCTTCCTGATGCCTGTTTTACCTCTTCATGTCCTTGGCTAACTTTGATTGAATAAATACACACTACTTCTGTTATATCAGTAACTGCATTAATTCAAAATGTTTTTTTTTTTTAATGAAAGGACTTTAAAGTAATTGAAGAAGATAGACTCTGTTACATCTAAACATGATGCTGTTTTTGCTCCATTCTTATTGAACGCTTTTTCAGATCAACCAGCTGTGTATGGCTGCTAATTATATATATATATATATATATATATATATATATATATATATATATATATATATATATATATATGTGTGTGTGTATATGTGTGTTTCATATATATTTCACTAACATATAAATAAATATAAAACTGGATAATCATACAAAAAAATAAACTACTTGATTTTCATCTTCATAGAAAAACCCAGAAAAATGTTTTACCAACCCAAACTCAATGGTCCAATCCCAAATGACACACGCACATAACATGAGAAAGTTTTCGTCTTTTTGTCCACCTGCAATTTAAGAAGGACTGGTAATGGCAGGTAAAGAACACAGCAAGCAAATGGAACCAGAGTGCATGCAACCCCTGCACAAGCCCTAAGAATTTGGTCCAGGCCTTCCCAAGACCCCCAAATCACCTCTACCCATCATCAAACCAGCAAATTCTCATGTTGCGTTTACTGTCCCTGTTGTAAAGGACAAAAACAAGCAAAAGGGAACTGGGTTTGGTGGTAGGGAAGACATTTGAAGCAAAGGTAAAAGTGGGAAAAAAAAAAATCAAAAAAAAAATCTAACATGCCATAAACCATTTCTCTGGCAATATAAACGTGTCTGGCATGCTGCCGCTATTGCAGCCTTGCTACCTTTGCTGGACGAGCTATTATTAAAAGGGAAGGTAGTATAGAATACTATAAAACACATCAACAGTCAATAAGGGTCATCTGACCTGTGACAGAATATCACTTTGACTATGTGAGCTGAAAATTGTCTTTTCCTCCATTTTTTTTTTTTTTTCATTCATTTTACCTTTTTATTTATTTTTTTAAATTTGTTCTTTTCATTCCAGCCTGAAAAGCTTGATATTTTTTTCTTCTTTCAAACCATCGGATCTTTCTGGGATGTGCAGCAAATAAATGTAAGGGTTAAGGTACCATAATCCAAATTCAAAATTTACATAAAAAAAATTCTTAAAAACATTTTACCATTTTCCCAGTGCCCTTCTGTTGCATCAATGAAATCTTAAACATGATCAAAGAGTCAACCAATTAACGTTTCATAGGAAATAAAGCAATCCTATTAATCATATTTTTCTATGAAACCGCCTTTTTATCAATAATACATTAATTCATAATCACTGATGGTCCGTATCTTCTTGATTTTCATTGGATTCATATTGCTAAACATAACAACACACTTCTATTGTAAAATCAATTGCATTGCACATATAATAGCCCTGTCTATCGTGTTATTTTATTAATAATGTGTCTATTGTAGAATCAATGTATTTGCATTGCACATATAATAGCCCTGTCTATCGTGTTATTTTATTAATAATGTGTCTATTGTAGAATCAATGTATTTGCATTGCACATATAATAGCCCTGTCTATCGTGTTATTTTATTAATAATGTGTCTATTGTAGAATCAATGTATTTGCATTGCACATATAATAGCCCTGTCTATCGTGTTATTTTATTAATAATGTGTCTATTGTAGAATCAATGTATTTGCATTGCACATATAATAGCCCTGTCTATCGTGTTATTTTATTAATAATGTGTCTATTGTAGAATCAATGTATTTGCATTGCACATATAATAGCCCTGTCTATCATGTTATTTTATTAATAATGTGTCTATTGTAGAATCAATGTATTTGCATTGCACATATAATAATAACCTTGTGTTATCAATGACATTTGCCTGAATGCCCAAACCATTGACAATACCTTTCTTCCTGATTTACATTTCTACTGTAAAACCATTTAAAAAGTATTTTTATCATAAGATTATTTGCAATGAATCTCTTCAGTAAAATCATTATTAGTGCATGTTATACATGTAATAGCAACAGTCTCCCCACAATGCTTGCCTTAATTCATTGTCATAGCAACAGTCTCTCAGCAATACTTGCCTTAATTCATTGTCATAACAACAGTCTCCCAGCAATGCTTGCCTTAATTCATTGTCATAACAACAGTCTCTCAGCAATACTTGCCTTAATTCATTGTCAGAGCAACAGTCTCTCAGCAATACTTGCCTTAATTCATTGTCATAACAACAGTCTCCCAGCAATACTTGCCTTAATTCATTGTCATAACAACAGTCTCCCAGCAATGCTTGCCTTAATTCATTGTCATAACAACAGTCTCTCAGCAATGCTTGCCTTAATTCATTGTCATAACAACAGTCTCTCAGCAATGCTTGCCTTAATTCATTGTCATAACAACAGTCTCCCAGCAATGCTTGCCTTAATTCATTGTCAGAGCAACAGTCTCCCAGCAATGCTTGCCTTAATTCATTGTCAGAGCAACAGTCTCCCCACAATGCTTGCCTTAATTCATTGTCATAGCAACAGTCTCCCAGCAATGCTTGCCTTAATTCATTGTCATAACAACAGTCTCTCAGCAATACTTGCCTTAATTCATTGTCATAGCAACAGTCTCTCAGCAATACTTGCCTTAATTCATTGTCAGAGCAACAGTCTCTCAGCAATGCTTGCCTTAAAATTCATTGTCAGAGCAACAGTCTCCCAGCAATGCTTGCCTTAATTCATTGTCATAGCAACAGTCTCCCAGCAATGCTTGCCTTAATTCATTGTCATAGCAACAGTCTCCCAGCAATGCTTGCCTTAATTCATTGTCATAGCAACAGTCTCCCAGCAATGCTTGCCTTAATTATCATAGCAACAGTCTCCCAGCAATGCTTGCCTTAATTAATTATCATAACAACAGTCTCCCAGCAATGCTTGCCTTAATTAATTATCATAGCAACAGTCTCCCAGCAATGCTTGCCTTTAATTAATTATCATAGCAACAGTCTCCCAGCAATGCTTGCCTTAATTATCATAACAACAGTCTCCCAGCAATGCTTGCCTTAATTATCATAGCAACAGTCTCCCAGCAATGCTTGCCTTAATTCATTGTCACAGCAACAGTCTCCCCACAATGCTTACCTTAATTCATTGTCATAACAACAGTCTCCCAGCAATGCTTGCCTTAATTATCATAGCAACAGTCTCCCAGCAATGCTTGCCTTAATTATCATAACAACAGTCTCCCAGCAATGCTTGCCTTAATTATCATAGCAACAGTCTCCCAGCAACAGTCTCCCAGCAATGCTTGCTTTTAATTTCATTCCCAGCAATGCTTGCCTTAATTCATTGTCATAGCAACAGTGACCTGTGCTATACATTTTAGTTGTTGCTGCTGTTGAAAAGTTACTTGGTAAAGTTCTAGCTTATGATTCTGTAGTGTCATTCTATAAAATCAGATGAAGAGTTGTCTTCTTTACTCAATGGTCTAACAAAACTGATGGATAGACATGAAGAGATGTAGATAGATATGAAAAGTACAAAAATAGATTGATACAAATTGAATGAAATAGATAGGAAGACAGATATGAAGAGCACATAAGTAGATGTGAATTGAGTGAGATAAATATGAAATGAATAAGATATGAAGAGACAAAAATAGATAGGAATTGAATGAGAAGGATGTGAAGAGATGAAGATAGAAATAAAAATTATGAAGATAGATATGAAGAAACAAAGATAGATGTGAATTTATTGCGATTGATATGAATTGAATGAAATAGATATGAAGAGATAAAGATAGATAGATAAAGAGATGAGGACAGATAGATGTTCTGATGCACATTTCCGATTCAATAGCAGGCATCAAGTTGTGTCTGCTTATAAGGTGTGTCTTATTGATCCAAAAACCAGAAAGATAAGCTAATCTATTGCTGGTTGCTGGAGATGGTCAACTGGATTGCGAGAGGAAGAATATTTAGACACATCTCGCCATAATGGACACTCTTGGGCATTCGCGTTAGTCATGACAATTTATAAAGTACCTGACTGACACATAAAGCAATACTGAGTAAATGAACAAAACCGTTCAACCATTTGAGAAAGAACCATAACAGATCAATATAATTCCTTCTCTTTTCTTTATTTTTTTTTTTTCATCTCAGCTCCCGTTCAATTTATGTTTGTGCCCCTTAAAAACTCTTAATTGTCAGTCCCTTTTCTCTGTTCCTTTCCACAGAAACGGGAAAAGAGAATTAGAAATGCTATATTAAGTTGAAGACAGAAAAAAAATAGACAGTAAATTCTGATATGAATTAATTTCAACAACCGAATACGCTTTTCTTTCCCCCCCCTTTTTTTAACAGTAGCTCTGCTGTTTTTTGCCATTTTTATGTGTTTGAGCATAGACATTTTCACTTCCTGGAACTTCGATCCAAACAGCCGCAGTTTAACGAGAAGACTGTAGAACACAAGAAAGCAGCATGATAAAAAGCAAGAAAAGCTGAAGGGTAACTGAAAAATAATGGCAAAAATACCAATCAAATATTTATGGAAAGATGATGGCAAAAATACCAATCAAATATGTATGGAAAAATACCAATCAAATAGGTATGGAAAAATGATGGCAAAAATACCAATCAAATATGTATGGAAAAATGATGACAAAAATACTAATCAAATATGTATGGAAAAATACCAATGAAATATGTATGAAAAAATACCAATCAAATATGTATGGAAAACTGCAAATACTTCATCTCAAAACAACTACTAGGAATAATGTTAATGGTAAAGTTAGCCATTTCCCTATAAGGAAGCATTTGGCATTGACTAAACAGCCACTACAGTTTTCAGTTGAAACTTATAAAATCTTTCTCTTAAAACCAGTTGCTCAAATCCAGTAGCTTTTATTGCTCTTTCCAGTACTGATGAGGGTTTCCTTCTGAACATTTTATTTTTATTGGTGCAGAATGTCAACATCTTGATTATGGTATTATTTTCTGATTGGGTTACATGTGCTATCTATTTTAGTTGTTGCTGCTGTTGGTAGTCATCAAGTGATGTGGTTTCTGTTATTTGGTACAGTTCTTTGTTTGTGATTCCGTAGCGCCAGTTCACAATTTTCAAAGAAGTATGATTTCCACCAAGACCCTCAGGCTTTACTCACTCAAAGCTTTTTTTCACCCCTGGTCTTAAGAAGCAGTTTGAAACAGCTGACAGTTTAGATATTTCTGAACAGGTTTTGCACCATAGATGACAACTATATGAAAGTCTCAGTCTGATGAGGTTTTTTATGAACTTGATTTTCAGGATGATGTAGCAATTTGCAGTGTTAGGCAAAAACTACCTCTGGCACAGCTATGTTCAATTTCTTTCTCTCCTCTATTTAATTTGCTATAGCTGAACCATACATTGAGTTATCTGACATGTTTGGTATTTACTAATTCCACATCCTGCTTTTTATGATGGATTCAGTTCACTGTTGAAACAGTTAAATATAGCTGTCTCTTCTACTCCAATAGCTTCATGTCTTGCACTTCCCATCTGTGAAACTCCCTTCCTCTTACTTGCTTCCCTGATAGCTATAATCTCCAAATATTCAAATGTAATGTCAATCAATATCTTCTGATGCCTTGATTTATTCTCTGATCTTCTCTTCATCCTTTCCTCTATCATACCTCTACTCTTGCTCCAACTCTCTGTAACGCCTTGCATGCTAGTGGCACTCCTGCCTTGCCACTCCTGGTGGTAATAGCACAAGGGAACACTTGTCAAAATAATTAGAAGTCTTTCATCTATAAAGTTGGTGGCAGCTACTGACATCTTAATGGTCTTTTCAAATTCTCTTGATGGAATGCAAGCTTTAGACAATGAAATGCTTAAAAAAAAGTACCATCATTGTTGTTTTCATTCCAATTCCAGACCATATCTTGAGTCCTATTTCTTGAAACACTTGGTAGAGGATGCTGATTTTCTGTTCAAGATCATCCTCATCCCAACAATGAACACCTATGTCATCAGCATAGCCCTCCTCATCATTAGTACATGGTGTGTGAGATGTGCTTGATAACTAGTAAGTTATATTTAATTATATATAACAAAAGTGATGGAAAGAGGACAAAAAGAAAAAGAAACTAAATGAAATTGGTTAAACCCAAAAATAATTCTCAGCACTCCTCTCCTTCATATGTATATGTAGTTGTATCAACATAAACATCACTTTAATCTGATGAAGTCCTAAGGGAAAATAATTGCTGGTGTTCCCAGGTCCACCTTAACCCGGGGTTGTAGCACCTGTTAGGGTCCCAGCTATGGGCAAATAGCTAACCACCAAACTGGGGTCAAAACACTATGAAAGTGTGTAAATAGGTTTTAATACAAGCAATACATTTTTGTAAAAAAATTAACAGCAATAAATCTTTGAAGAAAAATTATTACCAGCAAAATATTAACAGCAATACCTTGTCAGCATTAAATAACCCACTGAGGTTGATATGCAATAAAGCAAACCAAACCAAAACTCATGGATCATTCTCAGTGAGTTTGATCCTCACTGGATGCCCCCAAACAATTGGCCTTGTACTAAGACTAAACTTAGTAAATGAGACATGCATAAACAGAAAGCGATAAATTGATCTCGGCTGACAATGAAAAGTTTAATGAATGAATGACTGCTTAATTTTTGTCAAGGTCAACAGTGAATGTAAGAGCCAAGACAGACATTTATAAATAGACTGAGAAATGGAGAGAGATTAAATATCGACCTTCAAATGAATACTATTTCTTTTACGGTCATTCCTGTGGTATCCAATTTTCTTCCAACTTATCAATGAAAGACAAAAAAAAAAAAAAAATACTTTTAATGAATTTCACTACCCTACACTATATATATTTTTTTTTAATAGAGAGACAATTAAAAATCAAGAATAATATTCCTTTATTGTCTAAAGCTTGCATTCCATCAAGAGAATTTGAAAAGACCATTAAGATGTCAGTAGCTGCCACCAACTTTTCAGATGAAAGACTTCTAATTATTTTGACAAGTGTTCCCTTGTGCTGTTACCACCACGGGTGGCAAGTACTCAAAAAACTCATTAAATTAAACAATAAGTTTTTCATAATTTACAAATGCTTTCTATTCTTGACTGTCACAAAATGCAGGTATGAGATATGCCTTATTTTACAAGCACTCACTGAACATATCAATAGATTTGTATCAGTTATAATTGGAGGGGAGGTAAAAAAAATTTTTTATTTAATTTTTGATATTGAAAGAGGCTCTACAAACCTCATGTAAAATAAAAAAATTTATTACCAAGAATTTTACCAGAAAACAAAAAAATCAACAAAATAGCATCAAATTAGTTAACAATCAAGACATTTTATAGAGCATAAAATAAAAACTACTAAGTAGCATTTCCCATTTCAGGCACACAATCAAGAGATGTGTATCTATATTAAAATGTTGCTTTTATATTCTTCAACCTTTAAGCAAGCAGTCTTCTTTAATGTTCCATGGGTGGTTATGACTCTCCACAGCTTCATATCTCAGGTTGTTTTAAGCAATGTTTGACTCTTTGCTCCCTTTTTTTGTCCCCAGTTCTGCTATCCATTCATCAGGCAAGTTGCTGTTTCCTTTAACTCACCCACCTACTGTTTTCAATTTCCTAACCCTCATTCTCCATAATGTGTCCCAGAAATGTCAACACTTTCTGATTTTACAAGTATTATTATTTCTTCTATGTCTCATCAGAACATGGGCAGTCATGTCTCTCTCTGTTTTGTTCCTTGTAGTTTTAATGATGGATTTTTTTACCCTCCCACTTTGTCCCCACTCTACAACCCATTCACACAAACACGTTAAGCAGGTTAGCCACTGTTTCCCACCTGCCTGGGTATTAAAATTTCCAGAAGTATCTGGCACAGAACTAGCCTCCAAGTAGATTAGAATTCACCCATTCTTTATTTTTTGTTTTAAGCATTTTACCCTAAGCAAGATAGGAATGCCACTAGTTTGAAGGGGGTTACATAGAGTGAAGGTGAGAGAAAAGAGTGTGTATAGGAGGCAGTAAGGAAAAGATAAAGATGAACGGGGTTCAAGACATCAGAAAATGGTGAAAGATGTTGCATTTAAATTTTTGAAGGTGTAGTTACCAGAGAAGCAAGTAAACGGAAAGGAGTCCCACAGGCAGAAAGTGTAAGAAAGGAAGCTGTTGGAGTAGAAGTGGTGGTTACATTTAACTATTTCAATGGTAGAGGGTAGGACCTAGATGGTAATCTAGTAGCATGCTTAAATTTATGTAGTCAGGGGAAAAAGCTTGTCAGAACAGTAGCCTTGAAAATATTTGTAGAAATGACAGAGGGAAGCCACATCACATCTTGTTTGTGAGAAAGTGACTGAAGTCAAGATGCCAAGTCATGATCAATAAGATTGCAGACCCTTCTCTGGATCTCCTCACGAACCTTGAAATGAACAGCTAGGGCACTAGACCAGGTATGGGAACAGTACTGAATACATGGACAAATGGTAGATTTATAGATATGTAAGATTAACTCTTGACGAGAAAAACCTGGCACAACACAGTGAGCCAACTTTCCTTGCAGTAGATGCAGCTATTGATTCAATGTATTTGTCCCACTTTAAGTCAGTCAAAAGCATAAGGCCAAGAAGGTGCAGCGAGGTGCTCTTCTAGAAAGCACCTTGTAATGGGATAAGTGTTAGCAGGTTTGTCTCATAGACGCTGATTATAAGAGGGTCAGCTGAAAGGTTCATAGGATGACCAAGATACGAATGTAAGTGGACACACCAGTTGTGAGCATAAAAGATATGCAAGTGTTCCAGAA